GGGATGCTGAGGACTGAAACCAGTGCTCCACCCATGCTAGGCAGCACTCTATCATTCCTAGCTCTCAACTAACATTCGAGATCCTTTTTCTTTTTTTATTGGAGAAGAACAACTCATGTAGAACAGTTAGTGACAAACTTGATCTAATTGAACTATGGTTCCCTTGATACTTTTTCTTAAAAAAAATATTACTGGAAGACAGAGGCAGGGTTATCTCTGTAAGTTCCAGGACAGCCAAGGCTATTACATGAAGAAACCCTGTCTCGGAAAAAAAAGCAAAAAACAAAAAAACAAACAAACAACAACAACAACAAAAAACCCCCCAAACCCACCAAGCAAACAACCCCACAAAGGCTGCAAGTGATTTCAGTGCAGCGTTGTCTGTAACAAATATGTTGGTTTTTTGAAGTAGTTGTATTCCTATGGTTTCTGACATTCAGAATTTTTACATTCCTTTTTAGCTTTTTTCCCCTCCAATTTGCTTTAAAAATGCACCTTTGACATTTCATCTTTAGAATGGTGTATTCTTCCTACTGATTTTTTTTTTTGCTATTTTGTAAAAATAAGATTAAGACTGTTTGAAATAGTCTTCCTAAACTAATATTCTGAGTTAACCTAAAGATGCTTTATCCTTGCCAAAATTCAAAGTATCTAATTTTAATTCATAGCCATGTAATTTCACCATGTTTTAAACATTTGACAGCAAAAGAAAGCAAGCTGTCAAAGTGGAGCACTTAGAAGCTGTCGGTGATTAACAATGATCAGCCTACATTTATACAGAGACACTGTCCTGTTGAGGTTTTCTTAGTCACAGTCCTCTCAGCGTTAAAGCAGACCATGTCTTGGTTTCTCTGTTGCAGTTTAACTTGTAGTTAAAACCACTGCAAGCAAGTAAGGAAGTTAAGAGTTGGAACCACTGCTGAAGAATCATAATAAATGTCGAACCTCTTGATGCCACACCCCTCCAAGCATAAATGAGATTTGATATTTCCTAATTTTTACAATCTCTTTTACTTTTCTGAGAGTAATAGGATCTTGGCTAAATTCGGATGATTCACAATCTTTTAAATAAGTGATAAGGCATATGCAAACATGGGTTTCTCATGGGTCTTATTTTTAAAAGTTCAACTTCTTTCTAGAGGCACTGTTTTGTTTGTAGTTAATATCGTGCATTAATTTCACAGCACAGTTTTAGTTTGAAATGTTTTAATTCTGGAAATCTATTCTGATTTTAAGGGTGAGATTTGGTTTGGTTCTATTTACCGGTTTTTGAGATTCGAAGCACTTAGAAATCCATCACCACACTAATGTTTGCTGCTACAGAATGAGATTGAGACATTTAAAGCATTGTGTTTGTCTCTTGTTCTACGGTAGAGAGTAATTAAATGAGGTGTGCCAGTTGGTGGAGCAGAATTATAGGATCTTGCCATTATTAATCCTTTGCTCTTCTGGTAGACTTAAAAGACTCCTTGGCAGATATTTCTATAATAGAGAAAGGCGTAGTAAGGAGGAGAGAAAGACATGCCTTATCTACTTGTAGTTCTTTGTAAAGATTTGTTGCCTTTTATAGTCACTATCACTACTTGAGGAGAAGCCACCCACCTTCGCTGGCTTTATTGTAGCAGTGGCCATGGGCAAGGAAAAAAGTATACTCTTGCTTCTTGTCCTTCAAAGATTGAGGAAGTGAATATGATTACTGACTTTGTGGAAATGAAATTAATTTAGCTGTGTGGTCATCAAATTCATAACAGTTTACAATAACTATCCTCTGACACATTGTAATATTCTCTGATATGTGTATAAATATATGTGTGAAGGTTTTCATTACTGAATTCTTATAAGCATTAAAAACATGACATCGGTTGAGTCATGATTAGATAGATACTGGTACTCACATATACAACTTTACAGTTGTTAAGTAGAAGGAAATATATCACTCCTTTGCACGTCTTCTCTGCCATGGTATCTTTAAACTGTGAGCTACATAGCTCCTTCCTCCCCTACGTTGCTTCATGTCAGGCATTTGGTCTCAGCCATGAGAAAAATAACTAATTGCTCCTGCTTAGCTATTGTTTTTTTATTGTTCAGATCTTTAATAATAAAAACAATTCTGTTTGTCTCATTTTTCTGTAGTGATGTTTCCACAAATTAAATATTTGTAGAATTTGTTGAGTAATTCTTGTATTATGCTACATTAAGGACACACACAAAAGAAATTTTGCAAAATGCCTGACTCACTTTTTTTTTAAACAAAACTTTTTATTGACTCTTTGTGAATTGATTTCACATCATGCATCCTGATTCCATTCCCCTCTCTCTACCTTCTTATCTGCCCTTGCACCCCACCCCCCAACAAAAGAAAACTTATAAGAAAAAAATCTTGTCATGGAAGCTGCAGTGCAAATCACTGAGTCACACACTTTACCCTTTAGTCTGTTCATGTTCACTAGCAAGTGTTGATTGCAGTGAGTCATCATTGGTCTGGCTCCAGGCCTCTGGCTTCTGCTACACTGTTGACCCTGAGCCCTCACTGGGGCTCCTCGGATGTCCTGTTGTTAGTGTGCCTTTGGATCTGCAGGAGTGGCCCCTTACATGCTGCAGTAGTTCATAGATGGGGAGGAGGGTGGGGTGGACCAGCTCACAGCTCTGGTCTGGGCCTGGGCGGGTAGGTGGGTTGCTCAGCTCTCCAGCTCTACCTCATCCTCACCACCAGGGCGAGCTCTCCAGCACCACACTGACTAGCTCACCCAGTGCAGCAGGCAGCAAGGTGTGGGGCCAGGTTGACTCTAAGAGCCCTTGGGGCCAGCTCAGCTTACCCACAGCATCTGGGTCAGCTCTACCGTGTTCCCTAGCGTCCCTAGCTATTTTTACCAAATGTCACAGAATAATTGTCTAAAGCTTCAAGCCATGACCAACCCATTTCTTTTTTTTTTTTAAAGATTAATTTATTTGTTTATTATGTGTAGAGTGTTCAGCCTGCATGTATACCTGCAGGCCAAAAGAGGGCACCAAATTTCATTACACATGATCTTGAGCCACCATGTGGTTGCTGGGAATTGAACTCAGTGCTCTTAACCACTGAGCCATCTCTCCAGCCCGACCAACCCATTTCTTAACCTTTGAGTTCATATCGTTAGTTGATAATGAAAATGTCATATTGTATAATACCCAAACATCTTACCTGTACGTTTCATTTTTAACTGTTCATATTCATTCATTCATTCAGTCATTCATTTATTCGTTTTGTGTGTGTGGCCTGTGTGCATGTACGTGCACGTGCTCATGCATGGGTTAATGCAGAAGAGAGGTCAGAGGACAACTTGGCAGGAGTCTGTTTCCTTCTACCATTGTGACATCCCAAGGATTAAGCTCAGGTCCTCAGATGTGGTGTCAAACCTCCACCTGCTGAGCTGGCTCACTGGCCCCACCCCTCCATCTTTACGTTATCCTTCCCTGTTCATTCCCTTCTGTTGTACCAGGCAGAGATGTTCCTTTGTGATAGAAACTCTCCCACCTGGTTTTATAAGGTCAGTTTTGATCTTTTCTTCTAGGAGCTGTCCTTGTCTTTATAAATATTCCAAGCATTTGTTGAGACCTCTTATCTACTGTCATACTCTGAGCATAGTTGTCATTTGTGGAAGTTAGTGTCTTGAGAGAGAGTAGACTGTCTGATATTTGACATTTTATATAGCAGCATCTTGTTCAGAAGATGAGAGCCAGGAGCTTTAAAAACTAGTTGAGTAATATAAATACATTTGGTAGGAAAAGAAGTGGTTGTTTAGTTTTCTCAGTTACATAAAAAGAAAAGTAGATTTATCTCAATTCTTATGGTATAGGACTAAGCATTAAAGGTTAATCTTCAAAGCTAATTACATAATTTTGTTTTGAGGTGAGAGAGACAAACTATCAAAGAGACAGGAGAGGAGCTTTTTAAGGATATAGACTCTGATTGAGTGAGTTGGACAAGATAAAACTGGTATTAGGAAGTATTTTCAATTAACGGAATCTGTGTTTTCTTTCTATAACAATTTTTGGAATCCAGTCTGCCACTTTAATGCTTCTCAGTATTTGCTCTCTGTAACAAACTTGCAGCAATATTCAGCTGTGGGCATTTCTTTGCCTTGCTATGAACTAGTGTTTGGCGATAGAATTTATGAGGATCTGGGAACAGATATAGAAATAGGAATAAGCATTTATAATTGGTATGACCCCCCACTGATTCCAGAAGTATTGACATAATATTAGGTACAGTGTAACAGATACATCATGGAGTCTGTCAGAGCTGTGTTGTCTCAGAGTGTAAAGTTGAGTTTTAGTTATCAAGAAACTATCTTTAAGAATAAAATTTTTTGATGTTTTTACTGTGCACGCTCTATAGGGTCCCTCCCACCTTGTCCTCACCTTAGGGTGGCACAGATCTAGGTGGAAATATAATATAGCTGTGGCCTTTTAATCCCAAATGTTCTATTATGAATATTACATACTTGAAAACATTTTGAAACGTAGGTTATAATAACTAAGGTAGACTTACAAATTATGTACACAGTTTAACCTCACCTCTGAGGGTGATAGTTGTGTGGGGTCACTGAAGAAGCAGTTTTGGTTAACTGCATAACAAATGCTTTAAAAGCTGGTCTGTTCTAGGGTCAAGGGTTGCAGTCAGATAGTCCTTATGTGAGAAGAGAACATTTTGTTCATGAGCATAAAGATTACATCTGTGATCACAGCCTTGCTCACCAGGAGGTCACAAGGTGGGCTGAGGATCTGGCTCAGCTGACACAGTGCTGGCTGTGAAAGCGTGAGAACTGGGTGCCATCGGAGCACACAGGTCTTCGTGCTGCAGCGTGTGCTTGCAGTCTGGGCAGGTGGCGATGGGAAGACCCCAACCATACAGTCAAGTCAGCCAAATCCAATCCAGTAGGAAAGGATCCGAACAAACAGACGAATGGATTAATAAATAAATAGCGCTCGTCCACCGCTGCCGCCTCCTTCATCTGCCGCTCCTGGTGCTGCCTGTGAGCTCCTTCCGTGTGCGGACCCGGCGCTCTTTTGTGAAGCGGCAGCTGAGGAGCCTCCAGCGCTCGCCATGGCCGGCGAGAAACCCAAGGAAGGAGTCAAGACTGAGAACAAGGATCATATTAATTTGAAGGTGGCGGGGCAGGATGGTTCTGTGGTGCAGTTTAAGATTAAGAGGCATACACCACTTAGTAAACTCATGAAAGCCTATTGTGAACGACAGGGATTGTCCATGAGGCAGATGAGATTCCGGTTTGATGGACAGCCAATCAATGAAACAGACACACCTGCACACTTGGAAATGGAGGATGAAGATCCGATTGATGTGTTCCAGCAGCAGACAGGAGGTGTCCACTAAAAAGGGAACCTGCTACTTTACTCCAGAATTTGGTTGTAGACCAAGAACACATTCGCAATTAGAAAGCCGCAATTTGCTTCCTCCACATCCTGACGACTACAGTGTAGTTTTCTCTAGTCTTTCATTTCCCTGTCCCCATTTCTTTATTGTACATAAAGTAACTGGTGTATGTGCACAAGCATATTGCGCTTTTTTTTTCTTTCTTGTTTTCTTTTTTAAACTAAATGGCCAATGTTCTGTTTTGGTTGACATCAGATGGAGCTGGTCTGTGGGGAGTACTGGTTCTGTGAAAATATCCCCCTTTCTCCATTAGTGGCATGCTCATTCAGCTCTTATCTTTATTTTCCAGTAAGTTATTTTGCTCTCAATGTTTTAACAAAAGAATCCAACAACAAAATCCTTGCATACCTTGTTCGATTGGAGAATTTTAATGTTTTTCATTTATCATTGTAAAACCAAGGACAATTTTATAACTGTTTTGTACATAGCTGTTACATGTAGAGCAATCTGTCTTTAAGTAGGGGTAAATTACTCTTGAAGAAAATGATCCTAGATAGTTTTCCCTTCAAGTCAAGCATCTTGTTATTTAAATAAATTTCTTGTTTAAAATCAAAATAAATAAATAAATAAATAAATAAATAAATAAATAAATAAATAGCATTCAGTGGGAAGTGATTGAGGAAGACACGGAGCATCACCTCTGGCCTACATAGACAAGCACAGGCATGCCTGTGAAGCCACTCACATGTGTGGGCTCACACAAACCCATGTACACAATGAAATATAAAAACTCACAAAGTATATATACCTTTTTGACTATTTAAACTAATAATACCAGATTCAAGAATTGTCTGTCTTTGAAGCACAATTCTTCAAGGCTTACTTACTAATCTTGAGGTTTAGCTTGTAAATATTGCCATCTAATTATCTGGTTATATGACAAGCAAAAAGAAAGACAGAAAGAAAGAGAGAGAGAGAGAGAGAGAGAGAGAGAGAGAGAGAGAGAGAGAGAATTATTTGGAAAATAGTATAGACCATTTCAGAGCCTAAAGGGCACATTTTCACACTTTTAGATGGTGCGTGTGCACACTGCACATGTGTTGTAAATAGTTTAAGATACTTTGGTTTTTCTATTGTGTTCTGGCTGTCTCCAGTTTTATTATTATTTGCCTGTTGTACATGTAGATGTCCCACTTTTGCCAGTATATATACAACTTTCCTATTTAGTTATAGTTCAGTAGTAACAACAGTAAAGAATGATTCTTACCCCTGTTTCTGATCCTAACTCCCTAGTGCTTTGGAAAGTGATCACTTCTGTTTTGTTTGTTTTGTTCCTCCATCCCCCTTTAAAGTGGTGACATCTTACCTGGATGCCTTTAGAAAAATACCAGTGAAGCATCTTAAGTTGATTTAGAAATCACTTTAAGGCAGGCTCAGCTTATTTTTGCTAATTGATAGTTTTTGTTTTTGCTTTTATATTCTATTTTACACCTTTTGGAACCTTACTTAGCCAGAACTATAAATTCTTGGTAGCCCAACATCCTAACAGGATTGTAGAAAAGAAATTTAAGTGACGTAACTGTAGAGTGGCTGTAGTCCAGTGGCTAGGTTTCTGTTATAGTTGATTAGCTTTAAGGACTATACTCATTTCATGTTAAAATATGACTGTTACCATGACATTGTAAAGGATAAAAACTAGTTCCAAGTAGTAATTCAGATAACTTCTGTTGCTGGTTTCTCTACTGAGAAGGGAAGCAGCGGGTGAGGAGTGATTAGGTGAGGATTGAGGGCGTAGCAACTGCTCTCCAACAGTGTCAATCAAGGCTTGATTGACGCTGTGTTAGCTATGGTAATTATCATAGCAATGTTGTATCTAGAAAGTTTGGTCATATGATGATCAGAATAAAAAAAGAAATAGTTAACAGTAGATTGGTGAAAGTACAAAGCTTCAAATATGTGTCTATAAAAACTAACATGACACAGTCATCCATTTCTGTAATTTCTAACATTGGGGAAACCGTTTCATGTAGAAATAAAGGTAACATTTGGCATTTTAACATGACCCATCCAGAAATGTCAGAGCAGCAGTTAGAAATGAATTGGTCATGACAAAGGAATAAACCCAACTTAATTGTTGTTACTGTTGCCCTTTTAAGTATCAAAACAAATTTATATGTATTGTTCAGGAAGTTTTGCTTGAATCTTTTATAATAGTAGATACCATATTCATCCAGGGAGCTGATATGTAGCTTCCTATGTTGTCTTGACGATGAAACTAGGATATATGTGGGGATAAGATGTGTTTGCTTTTTATTTGCCCAGTAGTGGTTAGTGTGTGTTCAGGTTGGATATGCTTCAATGTTATTGATGTCATAGCATTTGTGTGAGACGCTCAGAACCACATGTTTTAAGTTAAATCTAAAGTTTAGCTTGTTAAATGATGCCAATACTTTATCTAATGGTTCATTTAGAAATTCACTTGCAGTTTGTTTAAAGACCTGCTGAAACAGTACTTCGGAGTGACTAATGGCGACCCAGTGGGCAGCTTGTGACACTGCAAGGCTCATCAGATTTCTGAATGACAAATTCCTTTTTCTTGTATTTACAGGAAACCTGTCCAGTTTAAATCGTCTTGGCCTGAGATACAATAGATTGTCAGCAATACCCAGATCATTAGCAAAATGCAGTGCACTTGAGGAGCTAAATTTAGAGAACAATAACATTTCTACTCTACCAGAGGTAAGAAGTAGATTAGAGGAAACAGAATGTAATTGAAACTAATCTGCAAGAAAACGGAGGGAAAATCTAGTCAGTTTTACATCTGGATCCATAATTTGGTAATTGGGACTGTTAAAACAATGATTATGCTGACACATGCCATCATAAGATAAAAAAAAGAAAGGGTGTGTATAAAAGCGTACTGTTGTTTTGATGTTGCGGGGTGGGGGGCAGAGTGACAGTCTAGTTGTCGTTGCTCTTTACTGCTGAGAAGCAGTAGAAACCTCTAAGGAAAAGCTGTGTGACTTGATTTAGAACTTGACTGCTCTGTTCAGCTAGAATAAGACATGCAAATAATTGGAAAGAATCATCTGTATGGCGTTATTAGTACTGTCTAGAACTCTCTTGTGACCCAAATTATTACCCTACTAATGCAGTAATGTCAAAGCCTATTTAGTGTATAACAGCCAACAAATTGGATATTTTAACCTTATTTTTAACTTGAATTATGTTGATCCTATTAGAAAAAGAATTGGTCAAGTAAGAAGTCACCACCACCACCCCCCACCACCTCCACCCCCGCAGACCCACTCCAGTCTGCCTACTCTTGCTTCCTTCTTTCTGGTCTCAATGCTGGAGACAGCTCTTACTAATCATTGGACTCTGGAGCCATCTTCTCTTTAGTAAAATTAGCTTGTAGAGTAATGGGTTTCAGTGTGGTATGCGGTTTAATTTATGCCTTTCTTGTATTGAAACAGTATGTTATCAGTTCTGCATCCTTGGCAGCATATTTACTTATTTTATTCAAGCATAATATAGTACTCTAACAAATTAAATGAAGGAACTACATGGGTACCCATTGACCTTTACAGACTTTTCTAAGTGGTATCAGGGTGTGTATGTGAGAGGGGTTGAGTGTGTGTGTGTGTGTGTGTGTCTGTCTGTCTGTCTATCTATTCCTGTGTTTCAAGATCAAGCTTTATATATGAAGAACTATTTGGGTAAATGCAACTATATATGAATTCATAAAAAGACCTAACTCATTTGATTTGTTTGCTTGGGGAACAAAACATAAAGTCACGTTTATTAATTTGGCTTATTTTAATTTGGTTGTGTGTGTTTTCAGGAAACAGATTGAAGTATAAAGATGTTTCCCATGGTTGCAGTTGCTAGGCTAGGCCACTGAGATTACTGTCACAGTGCCTTTCCTTAGCGGAAATGTAGCGTTTAACTGAGATAAAGAGTCAAGTCCAAGGTATGAGATCCAGCTCCAAGAACCAGACTGTCTGGATTTTTGCCCTGTGATAGTGATAATTCAGATTAATCAAATGGATGAGGTTATGCTGTTTAATGTTATCTACTTCTCTAATGACTTGTCCACAGTAGATCAATTAGCATATTAAGTTTCTATGTTTTTTTTTCTTGGTGGTGGTGGTCGCTTGTTTTCTTTTAGAGAACAGATCTTAGAGTAGCCTTTTGACCTAGTGTTTGCTTTGTAGTGCAAGCTGGTCCCACGTGTGTAGCTGTCCCCTGGCCTCAGCAGGATTCTCGAGTGCTGAGATTGCATGTGTGCCACTGTGCCCAGCTAAATTCTTGAGGCGATTCCTTTTGGGTGTGGTTTGTGTCCAAATTCTTAAAGACTGGGTCCTATAAAGTTTAAACATTTAAAAATATGTAATTTTATGTACAGATTTGTTATCAATGGTAGAAGACTAATAATTATTGGGCTCTTAAGATACAGACATTGCCATATGTGGTTAGTTTCATGTTTAATATTATATAACTGAAATAAGTCACTTTACTGGCATCTATATTATGATGTTATAAAAACAAAAACAATGCTACTATAAAAGCCTCTTTGTTCCATTGATTTGTTTTTTCAATCTCTGATCAGACCTGACCTTTTCTCTTTCATTTTTAAACAGGGACAAGAGACCCCACAAAGTTTTTTCAATGCCTTGGGCATGGGAGTGTTAAACCCTTTTTTTTTACTTGTGGTAAGAGCATTATGAAAAGGTCAGCTCTCTCTTGTCTGAATATGAAAGGCGGGTGGATATGTGTGCATATGCCTGTTTTCAGGTAGTGACACTAGGGAAGCCTTTGATTGGCTTTCTCCAAATATGGGTAATCATCTGTGTTCTTTGGAAATAGCATATTTTCAGTGCAAATGTGTGATTCTGGTTGTAACATAGACTCAGTAAGTAAAACAGTAGGATCCATTCGATGCCACTGATAAGACTTTCAGGCGTAGTTAGAGATGATGAGTCATGACATCAGTTTGCAGGAGAGACTCATGCCTGAGATCAGAGCTGGTAAAAATAAGTGCATTTTTCTATCTGAAGACATCTGAGACTGGATTAGTATTAATGTAGACATATGCACACACAGAAAAAAATTAACAACACTAGGCACATGAAGCTGAGAGCTGTACATTTATGGTTTCATTTACTCTTCAGTATAGCCTTTCTATGTGGGAACAGGCATTGTATAGA